GCCAAGACGTACAGAAACTCGGCTTTAGCTGGAAAGCAGCCGTTTGCGTCCGCTTAGTCTTATTGGATTACAGTGGAGCCTCGAGTGACGAGCAACTCCGTCTACGAGCATTTCAGGTAACGAGCGAGCCACTCGCAGAATATTTGTTTCGATTGACAAGCTCCTGCTCAGTTAACAAGTTGTCAGTACATGTTTGTCTCCGTGTCCGCCATTTAGTCTTTCTCCCTGCTGTGTGGGTTCGATTCCCACTGAGGCCGTGCATTTTTCACAATTGGGTCAAATAAATTAAGCAAATCTGCCAAACCCTCCCAACAACAGCTATACCCTTAAATGACTCGGTGGTTCCAGTTCTGTTATTCAAACCTCCTAGAATCCAATTGTGTGTGCTTCGAATTTCTTTTCTCCCTACTAGACCAAAAAGTCCTCGCGTGTAACTACTGCCCAGGGCAAAGGCCGACTCTTTTTGCGTACTTTGGTGCAACGAAAATTGCTCGAGAATTTGTTGCAGCTGCTAAGGGACAATCCAGTCCTTGCCTTACGCCACTACGAAGCTGGGCATAGTCTGTTTACAGACGAGATCCTGTCGGAGATTCTACGCTCCCTGTTTGCAGAAGTCGCTCGTCTTGACTTTCAGCTGGATCTCGACAACGCCGACTTCCTTGACGAGACTTGGGAATTGCCTGTGATGAAGGAACTCCAGTTCGTTCCATGCAGGTGACCTCTCCTTCATTACCGTTCATTGTCTCTTATGTTACCTCCCTTTTTTTATAACTAATCCTTGTCCTGTCAGGGAGCTATGAAAAAAGGTTATGTCCGCTCTCTTTGTAGAGCTGGCATTCAATTTATTAGTTAATATCGATCAACTATATTGGAATGCATATGATGCACACATTTGGAAGACGGTTTTATTTACGAATTCTGTCATCAGCCCAGGTTTTTGGTAGACACTCAGCTCGTTTGTTTGTCTTTATCATATAGACGGGATTAGGTGGCAACTGAACCAACTGGATACGCGCCATATCCTATCTCGCTAAAAGGGAGAGTCCTAGGAAAGCAGTTCCAATATTTATGCATTTATCACAACATTGTTAATTAACCTAAAGAGTTCAAAATCACTACCTAACTCATTATTCCTCCAGCTTTCCAGCTGTTTAGTAGTTTTGCGATCGATGGTTGAAGTTATTGTTGATTAGTAGACGGTTTTTGCAAGGCTTAAATAATCTTGAAGATGGTTATAGCTGTAAGATTTAAAGGCACCATAAATTTCGGGAGAGCTCCTCAGTTACAACCACTCATTGCAATTTTGTTTTAACCTTCCTTCTCTATCTGACTAGGACCTACGACCTTTCTGTACATATTCAATTTCGTGTTTTTCTCATTCGTGGACCTTAATGCAAAGAGTGGTTGTAACTGAGGAGCTCTCCCGAAATTTATGGTGCCATTAAATCTTACAGTTATAACCATCTTCAAGTTCTCTCCCGGGAACATCATGCTTCAAACTTGAATAATCCATTTGACCCAATTGTGAACAACTCGGTGGCCCCGGTGGGATTCGAACTCACGTCAGCAAGGGGAGGGCTTTAAAACAGCCAGTGATTTAGCTAACTGAGGTACACGGCCCCCATGGGGAGCCTTGAGTTTTTGACAATTGGGTTAAATGCATTACTCAATCTGCCAAATCCCAGTGCCAGGCAGTCATCTGGTGGATTCTATATTGAATGCTTAGGAAGTCCTTTTTGGGCAGTGTATAGTGTTTAGATTCGAAGGCAAACATCTTCATTCCTCTCTAGGGCACTCTAGTTGAAGTTAGCTAAATTGAGCTGGACGGCGAGTTAAACCTTTGCTAGTTGCGAATGTTATTTGCTCTGTCTTAGTACCCTTTTAATATATGATCTAATTGTCAACTTGTTTCGCAGCTCCGGCTTCATCGGATGCGAGAGCCTGCTTATTTAGTAAGGGAATTCTTCGTGATGACCGCTTCATTACTAACCAGCCTTTGATGTATAAGCCATCAATCAGCTCGTCTAGTCTTCTTCGGGGTTCTTGCCACCGAGTGGTAAAGCCGTCTCTAAGGGTTTTGTTATATAATCAATACTGGTGAAAGCGATATCTTGTGAGAAACCTCTTGTTATCGTAGTTAGCAGGGACCCAACAAATTTAGCATTGAGCGGCCTGGATCTCTCACAGACACCTGTTGTCATACGCCAACCCCCATAAATTTCTGCCGCCAGTCGACTTGTAGGCGCGTTCTAATGCGAAGCATGCATAGCTTCTAAACTACAGAGGAACCTAGGTTAATGAGTTTAATCCGTTCCGGCACCGAACTCGTCCTATGAAACACTCGCCTTGCGTAGCGCAGCCAATCAAACTTCTTATTTCACTGATTGACTGTAGGCGACTGGAACCCACGCCCTGAGAGCAAGACTAAACAGCGGACACGCAAACTGAAAACTCGTTAACTGAGCGGAAGCTCGTCAATCGAAAGAAAATTTTCTGCTAGTGGCTTGCTCGTTACCGGAAATACTCGGAGATGGAGCTGCTCGTCACCCGAGACTCCACCGTAATTTAATGAAAACGTTCCCTGCGTGTACGCGTATGCATATGTTTCAGGTTATTTCCTGAAACCAGTCAATAGAAAGTTGAAACCTACATGATGAGCTTATTCCCGTCGGTTATTTTGACGCCTGCTTAAGCCTAACGTTATGTGTATTTCCTTTTTGGTTGGTAGGTCTCTTGGAAGGTTAGTGTCATCACTTGTATGTCGCACCCGTCCCACCTCAGGCGACCGTCAGCTAGCCGGTGGCCTGTTGCTGGCGGTGTGGGAGAGAGTGAGGTCGACCCTCAGTGCATTTCCTTCCTCACTATAACCAATCTGATGCGCTTGAAGTTATCACGGTGTGCTAAAAGCCGTGGCTTGGAGGGTTGCCAACTGACGGGATAACTTGGATACC